TAACCAATGTCATAAAACAGCATGTGTGTTACTGTTACATGAGAAACTATCTGTTCTGTAAGCCTTCACCTGAAGTACAATAAAATATTAAAAAAAAAAAAAAATAGTGGACAGCAATTTTCCCATAAAGTCCATGGAGAATTATCAAATATGCCAGTTAACAGCAGCAACTTGCACAGCCCTTGCAAATTACACTCATTACTCTCATCTGAACAGAGGACTCTCCACATTGGATGCCAGCACATCTCCAACCATATAAAATACACATAATGTACTCTAGGTCTGTGGCAGTCCTTAACCCTTAACTCAGTTGCTCATTCTGCAGTTTCCATAATTCTTTTTTAGAAGTGATGTTTTTATACATTACCCTTACTCCACATATATACACACCCCCGCCAATACACAGGCACACATTTAACAACGTCTTTTCCCATCTCTTTCCATTCCAGAAATAAGAAATGAAGGAACCTAGTATTGACTGACCACCAGTGAGGAAATGTAAGCTCAGATAAGTTATTTTCTCAAAGCTCCATATATAGGAACTAGGATTCAAACTCAGCCTTTTTTTGGTTAAGCCTCAAAGCACATATTTTTTAGAATACCCTGCTACTCCTTTTTCCCCAACATTTAGCAATGAGCAAAAACAACCCTGATCTCTCAACTTTTCATTGATTTTTATTGATTTTCATAAATATTTCATTCAAAAATTTATAAGTAGGAATCTTAGGCTTCTTACACCAAAAATTAAAACAGAAAAATCTAAAAATATTGATGTCATTTTCATGTCTTTTAATAGGTAAATAAGTAAAAATTATGTGTGTGTGAGTGTATAGAACAGTAGCATTTATCTTAATAAATTTGGGCTATTTGACCCTAATATATGAATACTATCATACAAATATGCTGATAAGATGGGGGGGGGTGCGTTATACTATCTTTCATATAGGAAAATGGGATGCATCATTAGGAGCCGGGTTTGGGGTCAGGCAATGGGCTCTGGAAGGACCAGGGCTTCCTTCCTGTTGGAAGGGCTGAGCACTGTAGGAATCACTAGAATAGCCTGACTCTTACTCAGCACTCCTTCAATATTTGTGAAATGGGATGTAAGATTTTCCTGACACGCGGCCCTAATTTTCCTCTCCTCCTTGCCTTCTCTCCCCTTCTGCCCTCAGGTCTTTTCTCTGGAGTCCTGGGAGGCAGGTGATGGGCAGGACTGCCTCTGGCCGCCATCATGAAGCCTGAGCCTGCTTCTGTCCTGCTCTGGGCCCGGCTCTGCCTGAGTTCTCAACTACTGGCTGCTGCCTTCCCTGCGGCCCCCTGCTGCTAGGAGGTAGAACTTCAGGACTGGTCCTTGGCCTGTTTCTACCTTTCACCTGGCTCACCTCACTGCACCCTCCTCCTCCATCACAGCACTCCCAGACCCAGGCCTCTGCCCGGCCTCCCTGGCTGGGGCGTGTAGGGGCCCATCGGGAGTAGTGAGTTGCTGAAGGCTTCCTCCCACCATCGTGAACCTTCTCCTCCTTGAATCAAGGCTCCGGATCCACATGGATAGCTGAGATCTTTTCTCGGAGAAAGACACTTTCCTCCTCACTCCAGCCCCTCACCTCCCTCACCTGATTTTCCTCTTTTCTGCTGCCTTGTCTTTTTCCTCTGCTTCTTCCTGTTGTTACTGAATTTCTAGCTCACCTACTTTCCTTCTTCCTCCCCATCTCAGTATCTGTGTGTATGGCTCCTTCCTCTGTGTTCTCTCTGTGTCCCCACCTCTGACTGTCTTCTTCTTGCCCTTCCATTGCCAAAGGGGCAACCCCCCGAGGGCTCTTCCGTGGCCTGTCTGCTCTCTGGGATCTGTTCCAGCAGCCACCATGAGCTTCACCTTCCACTCAGTTTTCTTCACCCTGAAGGTGAGCATCCTGTTGGGGTCCCTGCTGGGGCTCTGCCTGGGCCTCGAGTTCATGGGTCTCCCCAACCAGTGGGCTCGCTACCTCCGCTGGGATGCTAGCACACATAGTGACCTGAGCTTCCAGTTCAAGACCAATGTCTCCACGGGGCTGCTCCTGTACCTGGATGATGGTGGAGTCTGTGACTTCCTCTGCCTCTCCCTGGTTGATGGCCGCGTCCAGCTCCGCTTCAGCATGGACTGTGCTGAGACCGCTGTGTTGTCTAACAAACAGGTGAATGACAGCAGCTGGCACTTCCTTATGGTGAGCCGTGACCGCCTGCGAACTGTACTGGTACTTGATGGCGAGGGCCAGTCTGGGGAGCTGCAGCCCCAGCGGCCCTACATGGATGTGGTCAGTGACTTGTTCATTGGCGGAGTCCCTGATGACATACGATCTTCTGCTCTGACCCTCGATGGAGTACAGGCTATGCCTGGCTTCAAGGGATTTATCCTGGATCTCAAGTATGGCAACTCAGAACCTCGGCTTCTGGCGAGCCAAGGCGTCCAGTTGGATGCTGAGGGACCTTGTGGTGAGCGTCCCTGTGAAAATGGTGGAATCTGCTTTCTCTTGGATGGCCATCCCACTTGTGACTGTTCGACCACTGGCTATGGTGGCAAGGTCTGCTCAGAAGGTAAGGCCCTCTTTACCATCCTTCTCTTGCCAGAGACCCACCCACTGGGTTGGGTGAGGTCAGAGACACCTAATAGAAAAAACCAGCTCTGTCATTGAAGTGTTTCCTTAGCTGCATGTTAGATAGTTGGCCCCATTTCTCTAAGGAGGTGGTAGAAATCCTACACTGGCTCTCAAGCAAAATCCATGAGGTCTCAGCAGGAAGAGAACCCTGGGCTCTGTACTCAAATGTTGGCCTGTACTAAAAGGGCTAGATGGAGTAGGCTGTAGAGTTTGTGCCCCAGCTCATCTCTATCTGCTGCACTAGTTGAAGATAAGACTGGTTTTAGCAAGATCAGCACAGGGCAAGAAATTACATAGCAATTAGCAAAGTAGTCATCTCTGTCCCTCCTGACCCCTTGAGACTTGGACATCTGGGAGCCGATGGGGAATTTTCCATTGCTTCCAGCATAAGAAATGCCTGTGCCAAGAAGAATGAGCGTGGATGGATTGCTGGTTTATGCTTGGCCCTGGTGTAAGCCAGGGCTTTGAACAGGTTAGAACTGTTCAGTCATGGCCAGCGAAGCGAAACTGGAACAGACCCAAATTTTTAAAATTTGCCTGATCTGGAACGATAAATGGAAAAGGAAAAATTACGGGTTGAGGCCCTAGAAAGGGAGACTCAGAAGAGGCATAGTGAGCCCTTTCAGGAGCCTGAATTATTGCCAGGATTGAGGAGAGCGGCACACATTTAGAGTGGCGTGGTTGGCCGCCGTCTTTGAGTGGAGCACCACTGTTTCTGACTCTGCGCAAAATCCGACAGGCAAGAGATTTGGTTGCTATGCAATGCATACACTGGCCTTGTTTTCTAAAAGGGAGATTAAATTTATAGCAGGGTTTGACCCATAATTTTTCCAGTTCTGGTTGTGGTTCCGGTTCATCCAAATTTTACAAATTTGCATCTGTTCTGTTGTCGCTTCTTTGGCCATGATTGAACTGAGAACAACTAGTTCGAAGCCCTGGTGTAAGCCCAGCCTTTCAGAGTACGCTCCTTTTCCCACAGTTGTCTAGGAGGTGTCTAGAAGGTGGATGAGGCATCTGGGGATGGGCCTTGCTGCTTCCTTGTTTTAGGATTTTTCACAGGATGTCCTTCTTTAGATGTGGTTTCCTCACTGTCCTCTCCACCTACTGAGAGCAGTGCGGGAAGGCACAGAGATTGACAGGAACCATATCCAGCCAAACCCCCAATCATGCTAGCAATACTCAGCACAGCCTGAAGAGCCTCTCAAGTTCAACTACAACTTCCCAGAGAGTGGAGGGAAGGGAGCCTTGTGCACATGGGCTTTTGCTGCCCTCATCTTGCTCACCAAGTTCTGACTGCTTGGAATTAAATCTGAGAGAAGTGGCCCAGATCCCAGTAATTTGACAAATATTTAATTCCAAAAAGCATTAAAGTGACTAAAGGGTAAGAACTGACCACAAAGGTATGTGTGTTAAAATGTTGGGATGACCAAGAGGCAAAGAAGTTGTATTTCTCCCCATTCTTTTAAAATTAAGCCTTGGATCCTTCAAGAGATGTTTTGTGTTGCCATTGCATGCTGGTCTCTTCATGGAGATGGTGGGATGGCACAGGGAAGAAAGTGGTTCTCAACCTCAGAGGCACATTAGGATTATCTGGGGGACCTCACCTGGCCATGCCCCAGACCAATCAAATCAGAATCTCTGTAGGTGGGACACAAGTACTGGAATATTTTTAAAGCTCCCCAGATGCTTCCAACGTGCAGCCAAGGCTAAGAACCAGCTGGTACTGGTACTGGGGGCAAAGGAGGTCAGGTGGGTGGGGCCAGAGGAGGGTCTTATTACTACTGACTTCCAGGATCTCTTCGTTCAGTTGAGATCTTACTACTTCAGCTTTTGTGATTAATGACGGTGTCTGCAGGTGCTCCTTAAATTGTCCTAGAGTAGCCCAACCTCTAAAGCAGGTTGTGGTTGATATGCACTTTAGTCACCAGGAGCTATCTACAGACATTTTTTTTTTTTTGTAATTAAAACAAAGTTTATTTCACAGGTGACATATGCAGGAGACCAAGACACATTGGAGACCATTTTTCAGGGCCTTGTTCTTGGCCTCGTTGTAGACTGTGTATAGGGTATTGAAGGTGCCCTTCCTAGGTCTCTACTTCTTTCTTCTTGTGGGTTAGGCAAATATCTCCCTTCCTGTGTGGGAGGGGGAGATACCAGAGGTACATGCCATCCGTTCCTGATTTCTGTTTTTCCCTGCTGAACCCATTGGAAAAAGAGGTGGAGAAGATTTATAGAGGTAACCCCAACCCAGAAAACCACTTTGGGAATGTGGTTATTGAAGCGCTTCTCACATACAGGTCCCTTCTGGAGCTGACCGCTGTTCCAAAACTTCCTGGCTTTGGAGAAAGTTCTGCTTGAAGATTCTGACATGCTCACTTGTTTTCTCATTCACCCAGAGGATCTGTTCCGTTCTCAGAACTTGCATTGAAAGCTGGCGTTCTTCCTTTTTAGGGGCCAGGGTGTTTACAAGTGTGTTGTTAACTTGCTGATTACCCTGATTGCATTTTTTGTGTTTAAAAAGAGTTCATTTCCTCTGGGCAGGTTTGGATCATCACTTTCTGCAGGAAGAATCTCTATACTGTGTATGTATACAATTTGTGTTTTCTCTCTCTTTTTCTTTTTTGTTTGTGTGTATTTTTCCCCAGTCTCCAGTGAAATGTCTTCGGAGCAGATTGTATGCCACTGGTTTTTAATACCTAAACGCAATCTGTATATTTTAATAATAGTTCTTTCTACAAGATTCTGACCGTCTTGTCACTGTGGATTGATACTTCTATCTATAAATGCAAGCATATGGCATAACTATTTGTCTTCCTGAGACAAAAAGTAAATAAACCCTGTAGTCACAGTAGCACTTGGCTAGCTTGGAAGCGAAGCAGGGCAGGGCAAAGGGTGAGGTGAGAAGGAATTCTGGCGGGGGAGTAACAGAATTTACTGTTGATAACTTGGAGCCTATTGATCCTGGTTATTGTCTTCTTGTCTAATCAATCACAAAAATGTGTCACGGACTGTTAGAAAATATCCATTCTCTCGATACACAGTTAATTTTTAGAAAGTGAGCAGGAAAAACTCACCTGTAAAACATTAAGGGGAAAAAAAAATCACAGCAGCGAAGAAGTGAAGTGTCAAGCAGATCTACATAAAATAAGATAAATAGCCTAAACAAACACCTGCCCATTTTCCTAAAGATGATATGGTGAACTGGGAAGTAAGGATGCATCCATTCCCTCTCCCCACCTTTAAATGGCACATGTCACAGAGCTGAGACAGGGGGCCTATTCCCAGCCATTGATCCTGTGTACCAGGTGCCTGATTGTCCCGATTTGCAGAGTGGGCCCTGCCATTGGATCGTGAGGGGGCTTGCACTTGGTGTGAAGAATCCCTTTTGCACTTCATGCTTCTGCAGTTCAAAGAGCAGAAAGAGCTGAGAGGGCTCCTGCAGCTTTAGATGAATGTGGCGGAGCCTGTGGGAGGCAGCCTCTGCTGTCCATCAGCTTCTAGCCGGCCTGCAGCATTGCTGTTTGCTTAGCCTGCCCGGTTCTCCTGCACGCCTTGATGGCCTCAACACATCTCCATGCTGCACCCTAGGAAGATGCACAGATGGGCTCATCTTTTTTATGCGCTTTGGACTATGTTGATAATCCATTGGGTATCTTCTCTAGGCAAGACCAGGAAGACACCGGAGATAGTAGCTGTGGGAGAGCTGGACCTGGACACACGTGTCTTCTGTTTCACATGGTGAAGGGCTATTAGCTTTGACTGCAGAGTGAACTCCACACAGCTTTACTTGGGAAAACTTTATTCCAAGACTCAACTCATAGTCACATTTAACATTGTGGCACATGATGGAGGGAGATGAGGTCCCATATTTTTACTGCTAGGTGTTATGTTTTTAAATAGAATGTTTTGGTGCTCAACTTCAGACTTGTTCATGTTAACATTTAGTCTTGCCTTTTCAGTAATGATCTTGGAGGACAGAAGAAGTGCAGATAATTCAGAATGACTTTAAAATGATGCATATGTGGAGCTATGGCACTGGATAGTCACTTGCTGTTTGTTTAGCTCAGTCTGCCCTGCCACAGGCAGCCTTGAAGCTCACTGGCTACAGAAGAAGTATCCCAAACTCCCTCTAGAGAGCAGACCCCTCATGAGGACTGAAATAAATTGACTCGATTGTTTATTTTTAAAACATTCTTAGTTAGGAATGTGCATGTATTGCATCTCTCAGCAATCTTATGGTTGTGAAGAATTAATTCACTGCTGATGTGTATACATTTCAGTACCGTCTTCCCTGAAGACTTCCTATAGCATGAAGTCAGCCTGTTGCAGGTCAGGTAGGGCCAGGGAAAGATGGAGAAGGTGTCACAAGTTGATCTAAGCTCCCGGATCTCATTTCACGTGCCTACCCATGTCATATTATTTGTATGCCCACATTTTTAGGTTAATTCAGTGAAGAGTCATGACCTCCTGTTCTGCTGGCAAAGAAAAGTTGGTTTGTTTGTATGTGTTCTCTTTTCCTGCTGACTTGGGCAGGTGCCCGGACCAGAAGCTTCTGCCTCAGTTTCAGCTATTAGGTTTTCAGGTGTTGGGACCCTGTAGTGAAGTGTGGGCAGTGGAGGGTGTTGGTGACAGGGACCAGAGCCTTATTACAAACACACTATAGTGGGGTACACCCACTGATGTCCTCTACCCCATCCCTCCTGATGTCCGAAGCTGACATACTACTCAGATTGGTTTGATTGATAGCCAATACCACTGGGTGGCCTTAGGATGCCTTTTTAAAATTGAATTCCAATTGCTTTTCTTTTTCTGAGCACTGTGTGACTCTTCCCTATATCTCAAAACCAGAACAAGGATGGAATGGTGTACCAAGAGGAGGTGGTTACTGCTGAGCATATACTGAAGTCCAAAGACAGTAGGTCTCCATGAGTTGGAGGC